TTTTTCATGGACAGATGGGATGGTTTTGGGATGATTCAAGGACATTACATTTATTGTGCACTTTATTTCTATTATTATTACATTATAATAGGTAATGAAATAATTGTGTAACTCACTATAATGTAGAATCAGTAGGAGCCATGAGCTTGTTAATCTGTATTTGCAGCAGCACCCAGCACTAGTATCATCTCAGATCTTCAGGCATTAGAGTCTCATAAGGAGCAGGCAACCTAGATCCCTCACATGCTTAGTTCACAGTAGGGTCCACCTTCCTATGAGAATCTAATGTTGACAGGAAGTGGAGCTCAGGCAGTAATGTGAGCGATGGGGAATGCCTATAAATACAGATGAAGCTTTGCTGGCTCGCCCACTGCTCACCTCCTGCTGTGCGGCCTAGTTGTGACAGACTATGGACCAGTACCGGTCTGTTGCCCTGAGATTGGGGACCCCTGCATTAAAGGATAGTGTATTAGTCCATTTTCGCACTTCTATAAAGAAATACATGAGACTAGGTAATTTATAAAGAAAAGAAGTTTAATTGGCCTATGGTTCTGCAAGGCCGTACAGGAAGCATGAAGCTGGCATCTGCTAAGAAACTTTCAGTTATGGTGGAAGGTGAAGGGAAAGCAGGCACACCATACATGGCCAAAGCAGGAGAGAAGTGGTTCTGGGGGACGTGCTGCACACTTGTAAACAAGCAGATGTCACTCACTATGGTGATGCAGCACCAAAGGGGAAATCCACCCCCAGGATTCAGTTGCCTCCTACCAGGCCCCACCTTCAATTGTAATTGGGGCTTACAGTTCCACATGAGATTTGGGAGGGGACACAGATCCAAACCATATCATTTCATCCCTGGCCCCTCCCAAATCTCATGTCCTTCTCACATGGCAAAATTGAGTCATGCCTTCCCAACAGTTCCCCCAAATCTTAACTAATGCCAGCATTAACCCAAAAGTTCAAAGTCCAAAGTCTCATTTGAGACAAGGCCAAATATCTTCCACTTTTGAGCCTATAAAATAAAAAACAAGTTAGTTACTTCCAAGATGGTGGGGCAGGGGGAGGGCACGGTGTAGGCATGGAGTAAATACTCCCGTTCCAAAAGGGAGAAATTGGCCAAAAGAAAGGAGCTACAGACCTCATGCAAGTCTGAAACCCAGCAGGGCAGTCATTAAATCTTAAAGCTCCAAAATAATCCCCTTTGACTCCATGCCCCACATCCAGGACACTCTCATGCAAGAGGCGGGCTCCCAGAGCCTTGGGTAGCCCCACCCCTGTGGCTGTGCAGGGTTCAGCCCCTGTAGCTGCTCTCAAGGGCTGGTATTGACTGTGTGAGGCTTATTCAAGTACATAGTGCAAGCTTTTGGTGGATCTACCATTCTGGGGTCTGGAGGACAGTGGCCCTCTTCTCATAGCCCCACTCTGCAGTCCCTTGGTGGAGACTCAGTGTGGGGACTCCAGCCCCACATTTCCCACATTACTGTTTCCAAACCATAAAGATTTGGAAAATTTGCAGTCTGGCCAGAACTGTGGTAGAAAAGAAAAGCCCATTGTCAGGTAAGAGTTCAAGCAGGCTGCAAAAATCTGCATAAATAAAACAAAAGAGCCAACTGCTAATAGGCTAGACAATGGGGGAAAGTCCTAGAAGGCATTTCAGAGAACCTTGTGTCAGCTTCTCCCATCACAGGCCTGGACGCCTAAAAGGACTGAATGGTTTCCTGGGCCAGGCCCAGGGCCCTGCTGCTCTGCACAGACTCAGGATACTGCTCCCTGCTCCCCAGCCACCCCAGCTCCAGCTGTGGCTCAAAGGGGCCTGGATTCAGCTTGAGCCACTACTTCAAGGGTGCCAGCCATAAGTCTTGGTGGCTCTATGTGGTATTAAGCCTGCCAGTACACAGAATGCAAGATTCGAGGCTTGGGAGCTTCACCTAGTTTTCAGAGGTAGTATGGAAACACGTGGATGTTCAGGCAGAAGCCTGCTAAAGGAATGGAGCTCTCATGGAGAACCTCTCTACTAGGGCAGTCACTTCCACATTGTCAGATGTCTTTATAGCAATGCCCATTCCTCAGTACCAGTTTTCTGTATTAGTCCATTCTTATACTGCTATAAAGAAATACTTCAGACTGGGTAATTTATAAAGAAAAGAGCTTTAATTGGCTTATGGTTCTGCAGGCTGTACAGGAAGCATGATGCTGGCATCTGCTCAGCTTCTGGGGAGGCCTCAGGAAACTTTCAGTCACATCAAATGGATAGGAAAGAGTTCATTGGTAAGTAACGAGCAAGGCAAGGGTATTTTAAGGAGAGGAAATGCCTTTGCTAGTAGAATTATGTTTTGTAAGAAATTGTAAATAAATAGTGCAATTTGACCAGAGCATGAGGTACTTGAGGGCACTGTCTTTGGATTCCAGACTGAAGAGATTATAGGTAGACATTGAGAGCTCTTGAAAGCAGTTTAGCTAAGGAATGAATATGATTAAAAGAATATATAAAAATTATACAGAGGTTAATATGGCTCTAGCATTCAGGATGAGAGACAGCTATGCAGCTGTTAGACCAAAAATTAAGACAGTGGCATCAAGGAATTCAGAAGTAATCAAGGATGAGCTGGATAATTCTGTCAAATCATGGAGACACAGGAAAAAATGATTTGAGTAAATATAACTGGATTTGATATTTCAACATTCTGGGAAAGCAAATTTAAACAAATTGAAAACAGAACCAGAATTTAAGCAGTAAGAATGATAAGGTGATAAAGGAAAGACCCTGGGCATAGATAATTTTTTTTTTCTTTATTTTTTTCTTTTTGAGATAGGGTTTCACTGTGTCACCCAGGCTGGAGTGCAGTGGCGTGATCTTGGCTCACTGCAATCTCTGCCTCCCATTTCAAGCAATTCTCCTGCCTCAGCCTCCCAGGTAGCTGGGATTACAGTTGTGCGCCACCATGCCCAAGCTAATTTTTGTGTTTTTAGTAGAGACAAGGTTTTGCTCTCTTGGCCAGGGTAGTCTTGAACTCCTGACCTCAAGCAATCCACCCACCTCGGCCTCCCAAAGTGCTGGGATTACAGGTGTGAGCCCCCGTGCCCGGCCGGAATTTTTTTTTTTTTTTTTTTTTAAATTTAAAAAGTTCTTTTTACTTTGTTAACCACTCAGGGCACAGATTATTCTTTATGAGAAGTTTGGTGGTCAAAGACTTTTAAACAAGGGTTTTGGAGTTGGTGGGAAGGACTTACTTTTGCAAATAGAACGTCTCAATCACTGGAAGAAGAAAGGAAAGAAAGATGTGAAGATGAAAATGTTTAGGTAAAGAAGCGGATTGGGAGAATTTCATTCATGGTAGGTTATCTGTGAAACTGAGATAAAAGATGGAATCAGTGAGTACCTTTTCTCAACCCTTAGTTCAGTGGCTTTTTTATATTATCTTTCTCATGAGGCTATTTACTTGTTTGTATTTTTCTTATATAGAAATGAATATAATGTGATAATATTGTTTATATGTATACTTAGATTCTATAGCTGTAAAGCCTCTGTGGATTAATCTTTTATCCTTTGGACTTCTACATTTCTGAGCCCAGAATATACTTGATTTTGTTCACAAAAGCTCTTTAACGTACAGGCTACATTTTTATTCATCTCTTTACCAGTACATGGGTATTATTTGAGCTTAGAACGTGATAAATGATTCTGATTTTTGTCATCTCTTTTGTAGTACCTTTTTGGGTCTTACTGTAATTTTGTAAACTGTGGTGGACTTAAAGTAGACTATATTAGATGCAAGAGTAATTTACTAAGAAGGAAATGTGGTAGAAAGCTAAGGAATTGCTGTGTTTGTTGCTGTTATATTGCACAACTCTTTTTGTCCCTTTATGATTTATAAATCTCCATGATACTTTGATGCAATTTTTAAGACCTGAGGTAAAGTAAAATTGATGATATATATATCAGTGAGTAACATCTAGAGGGCATTGTTTATATTGATCTTTGTTCATCTTTACATTTCTGATTTTCTGCATTTAAAATTTGAAGATTGTTTTCTTTTTTTTTTTGAGACGGAGTCTCACTCTGTTACCCAGGCTGGAGTGCAGTGGTACGATCTCAGCTCACTGCACCCCCTGGCTCCTGGGTTCAAGTGATTCTCCTGCCTCAGCCTCCCGAGTAGCTGGGACTACAGGTGCGTGCCACCACGGTTGGCTAATTTTTTGTATTTTTAGTAGAGACTGGGTTTCTCATGTGAGCCAGGATGGTCTTGATCTCCTGACCTTGTGATCTACCCGCCTCAGCCTCCCGAAGTGTTGGGATTACAGGCCTGAGCCACCATGCCTGGCCTGAAGATTGTTTTCTGAAATATTCATTCATCTCCTTATTTCTGTAAACTGTGAGCATTTGCTATATGTCAGAATGGTAGCACACACTGTAGATGTAAGTTTGCTCTACGCCTGCCTCTTTCCCTCTCTCCCCCTCTCCCTCCATCTCTCCTCTCCGTCTCTCTCTCTCTCTCTTTCTCTCTCTCTGTGTGTGTGTGTGTGTGTGTGTGTAGATGAAAAGACTGGCTGGCTGGGTGTGGTGGCTCATGCCTGTAATCCCAGCACTTTGGGAGGCCGAAGTGGGCAGATCACAAGGTCAGGAGCTCGAGACCAGCCTGACCAACATAGTGAAACCTTGTCTCTTCTAAAAATACAGAAATTAGCTGGGCGTGGTGGCGTGCTCCTGTAATCCCAGCTACTCAGGAGGCTGAGGCAGGAGAATTGCTTGAACCCGGGAGGTGGAGGTTGCGTTGAGCTGGGATCCTGCCACTGGACTCCAGCCTGGGCGACGGAGCAAGACTCCATCTCAAAAAAGACTGACTAAATATTGATTATCAGTTCTGTAAAAAATGAGTCCTAAATATATAATTCTGAGTAAATTTTCAGAAGTAAACTTCTTATTTATACAAAACTGTTCCTAAAGCATGGTTTTTAAAGTAATTAAAATATGGAGTTTCAAAAAACATTTTTTCCAACAGGTGGGAAGGAGAAACCAAAAACAAATATAGAAGACTTACAAATTAAAAAGGTAAAGAAGAAAAAGAAAAAGAAACACAAAGAGAATGAAAAACGGAAGCGTCCGAAAATGTATAACAAATCTATTCAGACCATCTGCTCAGGATTGCTAACTGATGTTGAAGATCAAGAAACCAAAGGCATCCTAAATGATAACATAAAAGATTACGTTGGGAAGAATTTGGATACCAAGAACTATGATTCCAAAATTCCAGAGAACAGTGAGTTTCCATTTGTCTCATTAAAGGAGCCACGAGTTCAGAATAACCTCAAAAGGTTGGACACTTTGGAATTTAAACAACTCATTCATATAGAGCACCAGCCTAATGGAGGTGCTTCGGTTATCCATGCCTACAGTAATGAACTCTCCCACCTGTCTCCTATGGAGATGGAGAGGTTTGCAGAAGAGTTTGTGGGTCTAGTGTTCAGTGAAAACGAAAACTCTGCAGCTTTCTACGTGATGGGTATTGTTCATGGGGCAGCTACTTATTTACCTGACTTTTTAGACTATTTTTCATTTAATTTTCCCAATTCACCAGTGAAAATGGAGATATTAGGAAAGAAAGATATAGAGACAACGACTATGTCCAATTTTCATGCTCAGGTAAGAGGTTTTTAGTTTTATTTTACAAAATAACTTTTAATTATATGTTTTTAGATGAATTTCTGTTTTTTGTTCCTAATTAGGTTGAAATAAAAAGGCAAGACTATAATGAAACCATTTGGGAGTATTAAGAGTAAATTACTTTCTTGATGTGAGCATAAGAATTTAAAATTCAGTTTTCACTTATGTGTGTGTTTTTTTTTTTTTTTTGCAAGGAGAGAACTTGAACCTAAGGAAATGAATTTAGCCATGCATTTTCCAGTCCTTAAATAGTTTTCTTACCTGGAAATCACCTAAAATTGTCTTCTAACTTTAGAATGCTTTAAGGTACTTACCACCAGGCCCATCACATGGTAGGTACTGAATAAATGTAGGCCATTAAAAATATTGTGGTAGGAAGGAATCATCAGTTATTGTGTAATGATGTGTAAAAAGTAGCAATCAATATATTGAGCTAATTTTCATTTCCTACCCTTCTCTATAGAGAAAGGTAGGAGAATATATATTATTCTGGAAAGCAGACATAATAGAGTCTGCTGGTTCTTGAACTTCAGTGTGGGCCCATCTGAAAGGCTGATGCCATTATTATCCATCCTCAAATTGGGACTGTTCAGGCTGGGAGATTGGCCAGTTCTCACATTTATTGATGCTGTAGTTTTTGGTTTTCTAGGAACAGTTTTTGGTTTCTAGGATAACATTCTAGTTTGGAAGGAGGGAAAAAGTAAAGGAAGTCTCAAATGGATCTTAGTGGTGATTTATCCCAACATCTCTCAATTTACAAATAAGTAAACAGACGTAGAGAGAGAGGAGTAAGGTATTAACATTGTCAGCAGTGTCAGGAATAGAACAAAATCTTAATCATCATCCAGGGCTCCTTTCCTTATTCTGAATATATTCCTTTTTTGATGGGTGCTCAAGTTATAGTTTCCACTTTAAATGGTAGTCTGAATGTTCAGTCATATCTACATGTACCCCGCCCCCAATAGCATGAGTATGTTTGGTGTATATTCTGTAGTAGATTGTAGTCTGGAAAATAATGTGGGGTGTGTGTGTGTGTGTGTGTGGTTTTTTTTTTTTTTTTGAGATGGAGTCAGACTGGAGTGCAGTGGTGTGATCTCGGCTCACTGCAACCTCCGCCTTCCGGGTTCAAGCGATTCTCCTGCTTCAGCCTCCCAAGTATCTGGGATTACAGACGTGCACCACCACACCTGGCTAATTTTTGTATTTTTAGTAGAGACAGGGTTTTGCTATGTTGGCCAGGGTGGTCTCAAACTCCTGACTTCAAGTGATCTGCCTGCCTTGGCCTCCCAAAGTTTGGGGATTATAGGCATGAGCCACCTCGCCTGGCCTGGAAAATAATTTTTAATGTGTGTGTGTAGGAATTATTCTCTAACATAAGATGTTTGAGAATTGAAATTTAAATATTTTCTAAGGTGGATAGGGAGCTATAGAGCATCCATTACTAGCCCTGTCATTTTATAGAAACCCAAAATGGTGAGTTACTTGTCTGAGGTTACACCTGAGTTTAATGGCAGAATCAGGACTGGCATCTAATAATAGTGTTCATTATTTATTGAGTTCTGACTGTGCCAAGGACTAGTTCTTCTAAGTATTTTATATGTAGTAACTCATTTAATCCTCTTTATAATCTTATTTTAGCGGTGAAGAAACAGATCCAGTGAGAGAAGAGATAACATGCTCAAAGTCCCTTATCACCTTATCATTCATTTGTCATTTATTACATGTCTCCTAAATGTCCAGTTTTATATTGGGCCTCTTGGCTCCCATTCCCGGTTATTTCCACAATATCACAAACTTCTTGCTTTGATACTATGCAAGTTTGCTTCAGTAATCTTTTAAGTGTGACAGTTCATTGATGTGCATCACATTCATTGATGTGCATCACATTACATGCTTTTCAGATATTTTTTTCAAATAAAGTGAGGAATTATTAATTTTATACTAAATTATAAGAATTTTCATCTAAACTATGTAATATGTACACCATGAAAACTGCTTTTGTTACTAAATAAAATAAGATGCTGGACTTGTTAATCATGGCAGTGTATGCCTGGGTTGTGGATCTCAAGTCCTTGATGAGCCACCTACACTGGTTGTCACCATCTCTTCAGGCTTCTTGGATAATATATATTGCAAAGAGGAAACTGCAGGCAAATGGATTCTGTTTGTTACCAGCTGTGGTTGTGGCCCCATATCTGTGTGATCTGCTACCCTGGTGACCTGAGCATGTCAGCTGCAGGGACTACTTTTGCTTCTTTAGCTTTAGACTTAAAGGCAGGAAAGTGCATGTGCAAGGACCATATTCCTTTTATCATAAGATTCTTCAGATCTTATTCCTGTGAGTGGGGAAGTTGTTGTCTGCAGATTGGGAGGTAGCCTTCGATTTGTCCTTAGACACTGGCTTTATGAAACTGAATGGCATCCAGAAGAGAGAGCAGTAGGAGAAAAATGAGCATGCTTATTCTTGCACAGTTCTATTTCTCATCCCTTGAGTTCTCCCAGTTAAAGCTCTTTCAGCCTACATTGAAGTGTCCCTTCCAGGAGGTGATTTTATTTAGTAAACTTTTTATTGAAGTATAATGTATACACAATACATATTATACATATTATAAATGTATAGCTTGATGAATCTTCACAGAGAACACACCCATGATTTTAAAAAGCCAAATATTATTAGTAGCCAGAAATCTTCCCCAGACCCTTCTTTATCAGTACTGTGCCAGCCCCCTAATCCCACCACATGAACCCAGGTGATCACTGTCCTGACTTTGAACATCACTGATATATTTTACTTCTTTTTGAACTTGAGTGGAATCAGATAGTGTCTGGTCTCTTTTCTGTAGTATAATGTTTGTGAGATTCATCCATCTTGTATGTAGTGGTACTGTATATGGTATTCCATTGTGTTAATATACCACAGTTTGTTTATCTTGTTACCATCTGGATGGACATTTGAGTTGTTTCCAGTTTGAGGCTGTTAGAACATGGATGCTATGAATATTTTCCACATGTCTTGATGAGCACATGTATGTGTTTCTTTTGAGTATATACCTAAGATTAGGATTTCAGGATCGAAACATAAGCACATATTCAGTTTTGCTAGATACTACCAGTGTTCCAAAGTTACTGCACTGATTTACATTCCCACTAGCAGTGTTCCATATCCTTTGCCATGCTTAGTAGTGTCTATCTTTTTCATTTAAGTCATTCTGGTGACTATGTAGTGGTAGCTCTCTGTGGTTTAATTTATATTTCCCTGATGACTAAGGATGTCAAGTACCTTTTTATCCAGTTGAATACCCTCTTTTGTAAAGTACCTGTCCACTCTATCAATTTCTTACTGCTTTTTTTTCTAGTTGATTTGTTGGACTATTATATATGTAGATAAGAATCTTTTGTCAGCTAACTGTATTGCAAATATTTCCTCTCACTTGGTGTCTTACCTTTTCATTCTTAGGTGTTTTTGATAACCAGAAGTTCCTAAGTTTAATGTAATCTAATTTATAATTTATAATCCATTTATGATTACCGTTTCTTACATTCTGTTTTAGAAATCTGTGCCTACCACAAAGTCATTAATATATTCTGTGAACTTTTCTTCTGGAAACTTTTATTGTTTTACCTTTCATGGTTAAATCTATAGTTAATAAAACAGCAGCTAAAAGTATTGGAAAAATAATCTGTAGTTCATCTGGAATTGATCTTTGTATATCGAATGAGGTAAAGATCAAGGTTCATGTTTTTCCATATGAATACCCAAAAGACCTAGCATTATTTATGGAAAAGATACTCCTTCCTCATTGCATTGTCGTGTCACCTTAGTCATAAACCAGCTAATCATATGTGTGTGAGTCTGTTTCTGGGCTCTCTCTGATTCCATTGTTTTGTCTAATTGTTACAGCTTTATAGTAACTCTTTCTATTGATTGATTGATAGATAGATACAGGGTCTTGCTCTATCAGCCAGGCTAGAGTGCAGTGGTACGATCATAGTGCTCTGTAGCCTCAGATTCCTGGGCTCAAGTGATCCTCCCACCTCAGCTTTCTGGGTAGCTGGGACTACAGGTGTGAGCCACTGTGCCTAGCTTATAATTAATCTCAATAATCTATAATTGGTTTGCTAGCTTTGTTCTTCAAGATTTCCATGGCTCTTTACACTTCCATATAAACTTTAGAATCAGCTTTTCAAGTTTCAAAGAGTTACCTGGTAGAATATTGCTTGGTATTACATTGAGACTGTAGATAAGTTAGGGTAGAATTGATGCCTTTACAACATTGAGTCTTCCGGTCTGATCATGGTATTCCCCTTCATTTGTCTTTTTATTTTCTGTCAGTAATACTTTTTGGTTTTCAGCATAGAGGTCTTGCAGATTTTTAAAAGATTTATTCCTGTATATTCAAGAACCTCATTTTGTTAATCACCCTTTTTGAGAACATGGAAGTTTTCAGCACTTCTTAGAATATGACATTAACACTCATCCTGAGAAACTGAAAATGTATTTTGTACCCCATTTATCTTCCAAAATCCCCCTTTCCCTTATCTGTGGTACTGTCATGTACATGCTAGTTATTTGGAATGTCAGAAGTTTAGTAATTAGCCATGGCACTATTCAGGAGGCTGAGGCAAGAGGATCACTGGAACCCAGGAGTTTGAGCCTAGCCTGAACAACATAGCAAGGCCCATGTCTCTTTGCAAATAAAGAAAATCACACCACTGCACTCCAGCCTGGGCAGCAGAGTGAGATCCTGTCTCAAAGAAAAAAACCCCAAAAAACAAAAACAAAAATTTAGTAATTAGGTTATATGAAATTTAGAAAAAACGAGTTTTCCATTAATGAATGCTTGTTATTAGAATCATGTAGTGAAACTGTATATTTTGGTGGTGTCAAGTGGATCAGCCCATATACTGCTGTGTGAAATTGCTTTCACCAAAATCATTGGTTGAGATGACATTAATTGACCTAATGTGAGTCAGTATTC